TGTGGGCGGCCAAAAATGATGGCAATAACTTAGTAACATTGAGCATGACAGCCGATTCAGAGAGATGACAATTAAATTGTGGAGTTTCTGTAAACATGCAAGTGAAGCAGCTGCATTAAGTACACAAATTTGCCTGCTCAATGACTTCGTCGCTGCTATTAAATCCCGCTTGTGTTGTTGCGAAATGCGTCAAGCCAAAATGTCCAACGGGAGCATCCATTCAAACACTTGAAACACGCCGCTAAATTCGGAATTAGAATCTTAGCAGTGTAGAGGAATGGCACTACTCACAACTCTGCAGGTCACGTTTATCTTTCGTGCTGCACGTAATCAATCTTATGATGGTTTGAAGTATTTGGGTGTGGTAGCAGTCCGGCACGTCAAAAGAGAGGTTTACACCCAAAATGTGGTGTCGGGGGACGTTATTGATAGTGTGCTTAACGGGTGGAAAAAGTTACCGCGGTGCGCCGTCCTAGACATAAACACAACTGTTTGATGCTGATGGTGATGCCTGTGTGATAAGCGATGCGAATACAAATGTGGATGCCACAAACCATAAGAGTGATGACTTGTAGTGGCGGAAATTGAGCTGCTTTTTCGCGGAGAATCTCCACCACACGTATACGTGATGAGCGTACGCGCGCTCTGCGTGCAAGAATTTCAACTATCCTCAGCGTTTATTTCTGATTCCGACTTCATACGAGGTTGCTGCTACTAACGGCTACTAAATTATCGAGTAGCGCACCCTGGGTGAATTTGATCAGTGGCATATGAAATAGAAAAATATATTTTGCCACTGATGGCGGTCATTCACCATTTCGTGGGTCCAACCGATTTTATGAGCAGAATTATGGAACGATCTCACTCAGCAAACTCAGTCATTATTTCCCCATAAGGAGTTATTTTTTGCGTTTGTCTAGCTTGATTTTTTGCTCCAACCGGTTTGGGTGATTTCTTGGAAGACAATATACAAAACCAACAGTTTAGTTTTTACAGTTAGAATGCATCAATTTTCTAGGTGCAGTTACTCCATACTTCGCAGTGGTTGCTACCATTTGTGGAGGTAGAGACTAATCAAGCATCAACCGATACGGTTCGGCATGGGGCAACCATTGAGACCAAAGTATTTGATATATTCACGCACAACCGTTTTGGAAGGAAGGATAGGTTACAGCACTATCAGGAAGATAAACCTGATGTGATTTTTGTAACCTGGTAATTTCCTACTAAAATCAAAGTATTCAAAATTGGGCTATAAGAATCTCTCGTGTTTGTACACCGTATCTGGTTGCAAGCATATTTTTCATCGATCATAAAATAACGACTTCTTCTCTGTAGATGGACACTTTCAAACCGCGTTCATGAAGACGAAATATGAGTAGGCTACAAGGTGAATGAAATGTTGGGGCCGGAAGAATTCTTTTCAACACCTCAAACATGCTACAAATGTAGAACTTATGGCGGACGCCGCAGAACCTTAATAAAAAACCCTGAAAACATCCTTATTATCCCAATAATGTGCAGTTATTATTTTTTTAAAAAGTACTAAATCTTCGTAACCTTTGGTAAAACCAGTATTTTCTATATGAGCTTTAGAGGAATCAGGATACTGTTACAAATCTTCCGGGCGAATAATGCGACAAAATCATCCGAAGGTCTGCTGGCTTCCTTCGAACCTCTCATGCCTGGAACTTAAGTACGAACAAAGTCGGAAAAATGACACCGGGTTTTTTTGACCGAACTGGTACTGATGTCACAAAATAATCGATTTGGTTGGAATTTTCTGAAGTCAGATATTACCCATGTTTGCAACCTTGAAAAATAGTCGAGAGAATAGGCATCTTTGGTAAAGTTGGTTTATCAGGAAACTTTGGGACATTCGATTGGAATTCACGTAAATATAAAATACTCATTAATCAGATTGACCCTTTCAAAGTTGCATGAAATCGGGCTACCCGTAGTTTGACTGGGCTGGCGTGACTTAATTACAAACTACGTCTCCTCGGTGAGCGACTGGGTAACTTTATCTGAGCGTAGCTTTAAACTTACGTGGCATGACCTCATCGGAAATAAACTCACGTGGCATGAGCGTCATCGGAAAAACTCTGTGCACTGGCGTTACTATTGTTTGAAACAATAGACGCACCTGTATCCTAGACGTGCATCTAGTGCGAAAGAAGTTCAGAAGGTTTATATTCTCGGTGAACACGATTCGCCGAACACGTGTTTTTATAGCACACTTAGTGTGAATGGTCATGTGAATTACTACAGTAGTTGAGCCACGCCAAAGCTTGTCTGTGCAAGGGATTGTGTAAATTTAATCACTACTAAGGGCTACATGAGCTTGCTTGGGGATGTCGGAAATGTTCAAAATCGCCCGAGAAACCTAACATGTAGGAGGAAAATGTGTGTCCATCACATAGAGTTTGGGTCGATTCCCCATGTTTGCACATGTTTGCAGTGTCACAGAATCATGCTTTTCGAGGTGGCGCAATGTGCATTGTGGCGCCAGCAGACGCCGTTGACTACTGCCCTGTATGTAGGTCAAGCCATTCCAAAATATTCAGAAAGGTCACTCAGAATAATGGGCACTACTTTTGACTTACTGCATCAGACCACTGAACAAAAAAAACCTTAAACTCATTTGTGCACCGCCGGTTCGTACGTGGCCTCTTCCTTGACCTACTGAGCTTCAAATTTATTCCCGCAATTTGTGCAGGCTCTCGTTATTGGACCACTATCTAGTTTTGATTCCCGTGACAGGCAACGCAGTGTAGAGGCGATCGGTATATTTAAAAGTTTTGCGGTAAGTGGTGTTCTCCACCAAGTATTATTTCTTGTGTGATGGATTACCCATTCCATCTCTGAAGTCGTATATGGCATTTGATTGGTGCCTTCAAGTTGGCGGAGTGCCCCCACAAGTACAAGAACGTGTGGCATTAGTCCAGGACCCCGATCACCTAACTGAATGAAAGCGGATCAATTTGTCCATCAGCTGTCCTATCCGTTCATGCGTCATTAACTTTTACTTCCATGTCCCAGGTTCATTGTAAAGGGTTACATTATAAACTGAGTAACCCAACTTATCATATAGATTTTGCGTCCGGGTTATCCTATTTTATTCACGCCGTTTATGTAAGGCTGTGGTTTCTACTGATATAAGTGTGTGGAGGCACGTAAAAATATTTTGCCCAAATATAGGGATATGCGATAGGCAATCATGCTCATGCGCAAAATAACAAACAAATGACAAAGTAACTAAATCAGTATTATAAACTGCGTGGAGCTGACAGTGTTGATTTGGAAAATTGTTGCGGAATGTCTCGTCAGATTACTGTGTAATAATTATCTCAGCCCGCATCGAACAATAGTTATTTTTTGCGAAAACATTTAGTTGGGCGTGCAGACTGCATCCTCCTCCGTAAAGCTGCATAAGAATGAACGTCAGATTGCTGTATTATCTGTTGTGCAAATGATTTCGCTCGTTAACCTGCAACAGTCTTGAATGCTTTCTGTAAAAGTTAAGCAGAGCACACCTTTCTGTTCCTAAATGCTTGGCAGCAAATAAAACTCCAGAATAAGTAACTGTCTAACAAACTAGAGGGATGGTAGGTGAGAATTGTAGGAGAGAGTGCCGGGTGTTTCAGCAATGTGTGAAAGTTAAGCAAACAACGGGATATATTCGTCAAGGAAGGAAATTGAGAAAGTTCGCCCACAAAGCTCGCGCCTTGGCAAGCTCGGTTGCATGTGGTAATCTAAAGCGAAGATTTTTATTCGCGCCTCTCCGGTTCCACCCACAACACAATATCGAATACACAGACATATACTAAGCTTCAAAATTGACGGCATTGGTGCATTCACTTTTCACACTACGTTTATCCTTCTAAAAGAAACTGTGGTCGCCAGTACCTGACAAATGAAAAATAGGGGTTGCTGCGTGGGTTGTCTTATGTAATTCCTTCAAATCCCATCAAAACGCTAAAAAGTATAAATAGGGTTGAAGTCTGTATTGCCTTGATTTAGAAAATTGCGGTGATGAAACTGTTTCTTGTAACGTTTACCATCATCCAACTACTCACCAGCGAGTGCTTGGGTAAGAGTACGTCCAACTTGCCAGGACCAAAATGGATGATACGGTTAGCTAGTGAATAGATGAAGCGAAAAACTTAGCTCACACAATTTGTTGTTCTGGCCCAAATGTATTGGGTAGTTTAAAAGAGTGTAACGTAAAGTTTCAGTGCGACTATATATATATGTATATCATAACAGATTTGTTGACTTTTGCATTCAGGTTTGTTGATGGGTACACAACTGGATAGTAAGTTTGCATCTTGTGGTGCGGGCTAGTTGTCACTACTGTAAGTCATACTATGTCAATATCACTCCCTGATGTGCATCCACATATTATCTACACCAATGTGTCTGAGCTGTTGAAAATTTTGTTTCATTTCATCATGTCTAAGTAGTACTGGCAAGCTCCACAGTGGCTACACAAGCAAATACAATCTCTTATATTCAAACCCCTACATACAAGAACAGTTTTCAAAAGCCCATAAAGGCCAAAATGAATAAACAAATTAATTGCCGTATTTTGAACAGTCTAGATTTTTAGTAACAACGCTATGGACGAGTGACCTTTTCGTTAAAATGTACTAGTCCATATATTATGTCAGCGATTAGGAGAGAATAGAATGACAAATCCGCACTTTCATGAGGACATTTTGTATGAAGTTGTATACGGCTACTACCCCTTGTTTAATGGTAAATCTTCCAAGGCTATACTATGTAAGCTAGAAATGGATTTTAGTGCCCTATGGTGGTATGGAACAGCGGTATTTTATGTAAAATATACTGCTTTGAAACTTAAGTGAACAAGTTGGCGAGCTAAATAACAAATGAAAAAAAGCAACAAATAAGGGTTTGTATCTACTCATGTTTTCATCTCTTTGGCTCATCCATTTCATTAGTTTGCATGAGTTTGTGTAAAAAGGCTCTGTGCGGTTTGTAATTTTGAATGAACCATGAAAAGCGGCTTCGATGTCACTAGCGATCTTATGCTCAAACATTGTCTACACGCCAGAAAGCCACATGTGATAACTGGATGGCTGAGTGCCTATGACATTTACATACGTTTTCTTAAATTCACGTATTGATTCTGCAATTTAGTTATCTGCCTAACTAAATAATGTAACTTTCAGAAGACTATCCTACAAAATAAACCAAACGCAACCCCGACAATACGTGAAAATTTGCGCTGCAAAACTACACTAGGAGATCGGTGATTTGGTTGCCTTGTGGTAGATTACAATTTGAAATTTTAAAGGGACCGCGTAGCGTTTGTCTCTGATTCATGGTATCGCAGCGGTCAATCCATCAGAATCTAACAACTCAGGACTCAGATTAAAGCGGTTCAAAAGAGTCCCAATTTTAAGTGCGCAATCAGTTAACATGACAACTTTAGGCGAACTTGCTTGGTAAAACGATCCTGTTACACAAATAACATATTTACAAACAACCCTTAATAAATTGGCTTACCGCTTATCAGTTTTTGGTCAGAACGTTTGTTGTACGATTAAAACTTTAACTCAAATCTTTTGATCATCCACAGACAACATTACGCGGGAGATATCAGAGGAGCTTTCAAAATTAATAGGTATGTTAAATTGTACTAATCTTCATATAGAGGTGAAATGGTTGTGTGGTATATAAAAACGTTTGTTTGCAGCTTCTAAATTATCGTTAACTATCCTACAAAATTAATCAAACGCAACCCTGACAATGCATGAAAATTCGCACTGTAAAACTACACTAGGAGATCGCTGATTTGGTTGCCTTGTGGTAGATTACAATTTGAAATTTTAAAGGGACCGCGTAGCGTTTGTCTCTGATTTATGGTATCGCAGCGGTCAATCCATCAGAATCTAACAACTCAGGACTCAGATTAAAGCGGTTCAAAAGAGTCCCAATTTTAAGTGCGCAATCAGTTAACATGACAACTTTAGGCGAACTTGCTTGGTAAAACGATCCTGTTACACAAATAACGTATTCACAAACAACCCTTAATAAATTGGCTTACCGCTTATTAGTTTTTGGTCAGAACGTTTGTTGTACGATTAAAACTTTAACTCAAATCTTTTGATCATCCACAGACAACATTACGCGGGAGATATCAGAGGAGCTTTCAAAATTAATAGGTATGTTAAATTGTACTAATCTTCATATAGAGGTGAAATGGTTGTGTAGTATATAAAAGCGTTTGTTTGCAGCTTCTAAATTATGGTTAACAACCATAACTTATTTTGCAATAGAAAGTAGAACTTCTACCACAACAAGATGAACGCATTTATATATAGGGATAGATGCAGAAAATAAATATCAAAAACGAAGATTGGGTTGTCAAACGTTTCATGGTTCTTCATGTTAGGCATCGAAAAACGGCTACCCATCTACGGCTTCAAAAAGGATGGGATAGTTTGGTATGGCATGAAGTACATGGATTGCCGCAAACTGAACACATGAAAGGTTATCGTCAAAAAACTGCGCATGATAAGCATCCGCATGTCAGCGTGAGGTACATGGATTGTCATAAATGGACATACGAAAGGTTATCGTCAAAAAACTGCGCATAATAAACATCCGTACGTCAACATTTGCATTTCGTATTCTTCATGTAACAGTTGGCATAATCTAGCAGTTAAAATTTTCTGCACTTGAAGCGACGTAAAACGTCAGACTCATACGTAGCATAATGCGAAATCCTATGAAAACCCTCCCTGAAATATCTTCATCCAGGACAATGGTAACTGACTAGAGGACTTACCTAGGATGTCACGGGAGACAAAATATAGCGAAACAATTACAAAGAGAGGAAGTTAAGTTTCCGTGCATGTCGGACCCACAATATTTGCTTTGTTATGACAGATCACCTTGAACACGCAAAGCCCAATTAGGTAGCACTATGCTCACGGATTTCGGGATAGACAATCAAGAGCAAATGTTGTGCAGAGGTGGAAACGTAAATTTGCTATAGAAAAATCGGGCAGCTGCATATAACAGCAGAAATATTTCTGCAGAAAACGAAGACATGCAAAGCGTTTTTGAACCGGCAAAGACAATTTTTACAAATGTGTCAAAGCTTGTGTCCTTAGTGTTCCTATACAATGACTGCTCATATGAACGTCACTGAGAGCTCGTAAGCACTGGTCTCGTCTTGTGGAACTGACTTAATCTTTCTCGTGGATGTTATTAGTTTTTTTTGATGATTTGATCATCATCACAATTGACGCTACCGTGCAATTTTTGTTCGACACAGGCGTTTTAGGCAGAAGTTCTAATTCCGCTGTCATTATATCATCACTGATATAGTATGCCGTGTGTTTGCCCAATGATATTTTGCCTAATGAAGGTACCTTGGGACGCGGTGTGGTTAATTGTTCTATTACGTGCATCAGTTTAACGTGCGTCGCCATCTTTGTAAGTGCAAAACTGTGCTCGGAATTGAACGGAGCTTCTAACGGCATTACTGTTTAACACTGTGCGGACAATAATAATCCGCAGATTAGAAGTAAAAACGGTGAAAATGTCGGAAACGGCTTAAGGAAATGTGAGGCTGTACTTGTCATGTCGATTGGATTTATAAATATGCGTATTATGTGACCATTTTCAAGCAGATTACTGGAAACATCTATACTTCACCATTTTGTTTATAATTCCACATGTTATACCGTTTTGTCTACCGAATTCTAGGTGAAATAGAATCTCAACTAAGAACTATACAAAGTATGCCATTTCCACTTCGATGGGGTTTTACTGAATACATTTGAATTATTAATGAATTTTGTGTTCTTATGTCTTACATGTCTGTGATGAAGAAATCCTCGTGAATGCTGACTGTGCATTTTTCGAGTTACGACGCGCACTTTGGGTGTCATGACGCGCATTCGAAATTTGGGAATTCCTCTGAATTCTGACCGATTTTTATAATGCTGCTGTGATATTAATTATTATTGATTGTTAGTAATATTGATTATTATTGAATATACTGGTAAACGAAAAGTCGACGTTGGCGGCGAGAGTGTCATTTAAGTTCTCAAGGAAACAGTAAGCAATCAAAGAAATAGTAGTCGAAAATCTCAGATTATACGTATTAAAAAAACCCGATAAATAGTAATAAGTTTAAAAAATAATGCCAATTCTGAAATGCCAGATTTTTTACAATGTCTTTCGTGTTTTTCTGAATGGGTCTCGGCACTATTTTGTCACAAGCTCCATGTATTTATAACCATGTGGACTCATTTCTGCGTAAAACTCGTGGCTTAAACGTTTTGGTGAACATCCCGCATTGAGAGATTACTGGTTCGTTACTTCGTTTTGTATGTGGTCAGACGAGATCTGAGTCGCATGTTGTTCATGTTATTTGATTTAATGAGTATTGAAAAGCCTTTAGCGTTGGAATGCTCCAAAGATGAAATAAAATGTAGAATCGGGCGTCATTATCAATTTGAAAAAAAGGTACGTTAACTCCTGAAAAAGTGGTTGACTGACACCGAGAAATAGGTGTCATAAAACCATCACCAGTGGCGATGTTTGACTTCATTTAGAATGATGTTTTGATAGAGGTGTTCAACATAAAATAAGACATCTCCGGCAGTTGAAAATTACTTTTCTCCGTAATCGCTTTAGCAGAATATAGTGCTATAAGTTTCCGGAATATTACGTTAGCAACCACGGAAGCGCCATTCGCGACCACATTTCTTTATTGAGGTTTACGGAGTGGTGATAAAAACAGGCGTAGCATCCCGCGGTGTGTCCAGTATTTAAATATAAATTAAATGAAATATATGCATATAGTTTATTGAGTTCGTAGCGATTGGTATGCATCTGCAATCCACACGCTTGTCACGCAAATCACGGAGTGCTTTTTTAACCATCGAACCCAGGTGAACTAACTACATTTTTACAAAAATTACGAGGTATGTACTTTCCTTATTAGATCATTGTTCCTCTCACAACCATTGGATAACGACGTAGAATATGTTTTAACTGAATGACCATGACTATGAAAATTTTGTGCACTTGATAAAATAAATGGAATGCACCAAAAGAGAATAAAATAAAAAATTATCCTGTTTTTTTCAGTTAAATGTTTAGATTTACTGATTGGAGGTCCTTGCGCGTGACGTGTCTTCCCTGCAGCAAAGCTCCCAAAAGCGTTCCGTGGGTGTCCGCGGACACCTTCGGAGGTCGACTGACTTTGTGCTTTCTGTGCGCAGATGTGTTCTTCCGGGCCGCGTTACGTGTCTACCTGCTATGTGCAGTCTGAAGAGAAGGTTGCCTTTTCACCTTAT